CCCACACCCCCCCTTACCTGCCCAAGCTTCCCGCGAATTAAATGTTCGCGGGAAGCAGGGGAGGGGGCGGAGACTTTGGGGAGGGGGCGGAGTTGGGGCGGGGGAGGGGGCGGGGCTGGGGGCGGGGCCAGGGCCCCGTGGAGTGTCCTCCTTTTGGAGGCACAAAATATGGTAACCCTAAGTCCCCTATTCTGCTTCACATGTCCAGTCACTACTGTTGCATCTGTGGCATCTGAAAGCAATGCAGATGGACTTCTTTTCATGGGCAAAAGCAGTCACAAAAGAAGCAGAATCATTACAGAGCCCAGGATGACTCTATGCCTAGGAGGCAGTACTGGTGCTGGCCTATTTGGGGCCCTAAACAGGAATACTGTTGCACCCCCACAACACATACTAATAACTAATAGGGGTCCCCCTGGTGCTGTGTGGGGCCCTAAGCAATTGCTTAATCTGCTTATGCCTAGCACAGGCTCTGCGAGGAGGGTAAGGTAAACAAGAAGCAGAAGGGCTTCCTACTTGCCTGAGGAGGGGTTATGTTGCAAGGCCCTAGGGAAGAGCTCAGTCTTAAGCAGGAACAGAAGAGACCAAGGCAGGAGTATAAGGAAGGACCACCACCAACAGCAGTGAAGAAGAAAGGGTAGCAGTACCGCGACCCCCTTACAATAACCCCCTTAATAACTCCTTTTGAGGTCAGGACCCCTACAATTACAACAGCAGTGAAATTTCAGATTTAAAGAGCTGAAATCATGAAATTTACAATTTTTAAAATCCCATGGCTGTGAAATTGACCAAAATGGACCACGAATTTGGTAGGGCCCTAAGAATGAGACAAGCCACCCTGTTACATGCACCCTCCAACTCCTTTACATTTAGAATACTGGGCAATTGTTTGTCATGCTTTTCTTTTATATCAGCATAGATTAATATACTGCCCATAAATATACCACCTCTTTGTCCTCTAAGCTGTTCTCTCATTTTCTGTTGTGGATTGGAGATTTCTTTGTGGCAATCTATAGTAACAGTACTGTCAGAGTGAAGAAATAAACGTGTTCATTGTGCCAGTGTCTGGAGGCAGGGTCCTCTGCCTAAAATGGATTTCCAGCATGAAGTAATGAATAGAGGTTGATTCCATTCAATCTAGGAATAATATCTTCCATAATAAAGAAAGCAAATTTGTCTTTGGGCAGATTTCTCTAACTTTGATATGCTGAGAACATAAGTGCACTTTCAAAATATTTTTTTAAAGGAGAATGTTAGAAAGGGTATACATTATTAATAATAATTCTTAGCTCTTATATGTAGTCGTCATTTGTAGTAGAGTATAATTCATACTGCTCTATTGTAATAAAACCAAATATCGTTAATACACAGTATAGTGTATTTTAACTTTCATTCACTCTGTGACTACAACCTTTCACAGAGCAACGTTTAGCATCCGGTGTCAAAAATTTAACAGCAACAAGTTCTTTTTCACAAACACTAGGGGATATACAAGCTTAGGCCTAGCCTAAAACAAGGCATCAAAAACCCTGCAATGCAAAACCTCTTCTCTGATGAATGGTACACTAGTTAATAGACTTATATGTAGTAAGAAAATGTAATGTATTTAAAACAATGAAAAACTTAAAACAGCAAGGTAGCTGAGTGAAAATTACTCTCAAAACTCAGGGAGATCTATGATCATCTGCCCTCATTGGGACTAATTTTTAATTAAAATATTGAAAGAGAACATAATGTGTGTCATTTATTAGTTCAGGCCAGTTCCTTTCCTTTTTGTAATCACTTCTGTAAATGCGCACCCCATCAAACGCACGCCTGGTAAGTTGCTGTGTATACCATATTCTAGGACAAGATATACAACTTGTAATTCATTCATGTAGTATTCATTAAGAGTGAATGTAAATATACTGTTGCATTTTCCTAATCAGCCAGAAGATGGCCATAGAGTTCCCAAGAGCCAATTTTTCTCCTACTCAGTAAAGCATTCTGGTTTTCATGCACCAGGGCTCTGTCCAAAATCTGAGAAAAATAGTTCCAGTTTTAACAGAATAACCTGATCAACCACTCTGACAGGGAAGTGATATGAAATCTGAGATTCAGAGCCTGAAAAGCAAGAATTGACTTCCCAATTTTGTTTAACTTACCTAGAGTCTTATATGTTCCATTGAGTCACTTCACCCACAAGACATTACTACAATTTTATTTTCCCCAGTAAGAATTCAATAACCATAAGACACTTTGAATTGAAAGTCTGATGCTATGTGTCTGTCCCTTTTATTATTAATCACAATTATTTTTTATGTTTCTATAATGACTTCCATCTTGAATGATGCTCAAGTGCTTTACAAACTATACCCACACAACACCACTGAAACAGTCTCCTCCAAAGTGCAATGCAGCAATATACCAGTATATAGTATCCTGTCCAGCAAGGAGGGAGGGCGATGTTTTGGATAAATCCCATTCTTGAGAAAAGTGCTTTAATCTTTATTACCCTTGCTGAGCAGACAGGACCATCTTTAAGTGTTCAGTCCAAAAGATGAGTTTAAGAGGAAAAAAATTAAGTCCCCAAAGAAAGAATACTTGTCTAACTATTCTGGAGATTGGCATGTACAGTGGCTGCAGGACCAAATTCCTATTCTGCAAAGGGCTGTAACTCAAAAATGGATGTGGTCTTATAACTTACAGCAGGTTAGAATAAAATGCCAAATAGTTCAGCACAGGTAATTAAAAATTTAAAGAGCATAGGAAAAGGATACTTACAACTGAGGCCACAGTTCTCTCAGTGTAAGGAAAACCCTAATTTAAGAACTGAATAGAAATAATTATGTGCAGATTCCTCTTTTTTAAATCTTAGCAAATAGCATTATTTTCTACATCACACTAAAAGTAAACAGATTCTATAAGCAAAGGCAATATATCATGTAGCAGCTGCAGTACGGAGATAGCTTTATCTTCCTTACAGGTTTGACTGAACTTATCTAAAAACGTCAATCTCAAATTAAAATCCCAAACATTGATCTCAAGCGAGAACAACATGATTTGAAAGTTAACATTGAACAGAAAAAAAGGAGAAACCATCCCAGAATGCTGATGGCTAGTACTGTAGTTCAATTAGCAGACCACAGTACACTGGTATTTAGGACTAGATGTGTAACTGATCGTGGGTAAATCATTTTTAATGACTACAGCATGTTTCAGATCAACAACTGTACATTACTGAAAGAAGTACTACATCTTAAGCATGTAACCAGTGTGACATTACTGATAAAAATCTAGCTGCATGCCACACAATTGTGTGTTTTCAGTTAGACTGTCAGAAATATCTGGTTTTAATGGGCATATTCAACGTTCTCTCATAGGTATGTGTTGCATTTCTTCCCACTCTCAGTTGTGCACTGTGTATGCTCAGGGCCGGCTCCAGGCACCAGCCCATCAAGCTTGTGCTTGGGGCGGCACCTGGAGGGGGGTGGCGCGGTGCGGTGCTCCGGCTCCGGCCGCCGGGGAGAGCAGGGCCACGGCCGGGCTCGCCGCCGGGGAGAGCGGAGCCCCGGCCGGGCACTCCGCCCTCCCCCCAGCACTCTGGCCACCGGGGAGAGCGGAGCCCCGGCCGGGGCTCGCCGCCCTCCCCCCAGCGCTCTGGCTGCCGGGGAAAGCGGAGCCCCGGCCGGGGCTCGCCGCCGGGGAGAGCGGAGCCCCGGCCGGGCACTCCGCCCTCCTCCCAGGGCTCCGACCGCCCTCCCCCCGGCGGCCAGAGCGCCGAGGCTCCGGCCGCCCTCCCCTGCCGCGCTGGGGGAGCGGCAGGAGGCTTTTTTGCCTGGGGCGGCAAAAAAGCCAGAGCCGGCCCTGTGTATGCTGTAGAGAGGATAGTAATGTGTCTATGAAAGCTCTTTCTCTTGCATTTCAAAGTGTTCTCAGGGTATTTAAGTAGTTCATGACACAACACTCCCTACACAGCAGGAACACATGTGCATGCCAGCTCTTCCTTGGGAGAGCTATTGAGAGGCACTGCCTCCTCACTGTCAATGACTATCTTCTCCAGAGTCACCCACTGCTTTGGGAATGTTGGTTAGTATGGATCAGGCATCTGTGGAGATTATTATTATTATTTATTAAAGCACAGCCTCTAAATCTGGACCCCAGGCATTATGGAACTGTTTCCTACTTCTGCCTCCTACATACACATCAGACTACTGGCCCCACCCTGCACTCTTTCCTATTTACCTCTACAGCACAGCAGGTAGCTGTGAAAGAGAGAAGAGTAGCAGTTGCCACACAGCACTAGTGGCTTCCTACAGTAGCCTCAGATTTCTTTCCTCCTCATTCATGGCTAATGGCCATAGTGACTCATAGGGCGGAAGGGGCCAGGGATCGGTGTGCTTCTCCTTCCAAAAGCCAGACAAGACGTTCACTCTTAGGACACACCTGCACACTACATCAAACCGCAGAAACATCTGGAAAGCTTTGACTTTTGGGGACATAAAGAACTGCGCTATGGAACATCCTATATGAGTTTCCATGAGGACATGTGGTTCCCACACACCTGCAGTCCCTTCCAGCCACTGAAGTGGCAAGTTATCACTCTTTAAAATAAGTCAACTTTCACACATTGGCAATTTGCTTTCTCCTTAGTTAAGACTTGGCATAGTACAACTGTTAGACTGGCACTACTGGTACAATTAACTGGTTAATTGATTGTTAAAATTATTAGTTTTTCCTGTGATTATATTTCAGCTCTAGGATTCTAGCCACATTGGGTTAATTTGTTTTTCCACCATGATGACAAATCCCAGAGAAAAGAACGGATTTAAGACCTGCCTTTTTTTGTGTGGGGGGGAAATATATCTGTAATAGCACCCTTCCCCCCCCAAAAAAAATTAAAAAACAAACAAACAAAACACCTCACAACTGGTGTCTTTTAAGGGACAAAAAATGCTCCATTTGCCTTTGTTTTACTTCATGGCCCCATTTGGACAAAAATTTCATATGTGCTTCGTAGCACGCCGTTTACACAGTCTCTAAAAAAAATTACTTTTTTCTGTTTAAACCGATATCATTTACAATTCTTAAGCTGGTTTACGTAAGTAAGTGATTGTTTATTGGGATCAAAGCCATAAAATGGCTTGGTTTTTTTATTAAAAATTTTATTTTAAGAAAACCGTGTCCCTGATCTCCCTTTAACTTACCCAGTTTAACTTTGTTGACTTCAGTGGAGTTACTCCTAAATGACACCAGTGTAAAAGAAAAACCACCACCTTTAGTACACATTTATAATATATTAGTAAGATCAATATTCCACAGTCACATTAAAAAAATTAAAATCAACTTACTGCGAGAGAGATTCTCAAGGGCTTTCCCCAGCTTCTTACTCTCCTGAAGAATATGATTTAATTCATCAAACTCCTGGCTCTCCGGTTTTCTCCGCCAGTCCCATTTAGGATGCTCTATTGACCTTGGCACTAAGTAAAATTTATATATAAAGATTAGATTTCATAATTCAGAAAGCTACAGTAGCAACAAGCTGTGCAATGAGTCTACAAGATCAAGAATGCTCATAATGTTGAAATCAGTTTTCCCCTTCTTATAACACTTACTGGATATATTTTTATTTCAGTTAGTGAGGTGGTTCCAAAGAAAAAAAAAAAAAGTCCAGAGGCAGAATTTTCAAATGACCTTTGTGACCAAATCAACTAACCACCAGGAACAGCTAACACTGAATTCTCAGACAAAAAAAAAAACAAACAAACAAACCATGTACACATTGCTTTGTAAGTGAAACCACTACATGGTAAATGAAATGTGTACCTATTGGCCAATAAAAGGAAAGAAGACAAAATGGAAATAAAGAACTCCTATTTCTGTTTTTATTATTAGTTTTACCATAAACAATACAAAATTTGTTTTATTTATATAAATACTCCTGCCATTGTCTCAATTCAGTTAACAGAAAAGCAAAAGAAACAATTAAACAAAATATATATCCATTACACACCAGGCAAAAGGCTGTGTAAGCATACGAGCTTTTATTCTGTTCCCTTACGTTATGGCTTCTTGGGAAGCATACTCTTCTGTTGAGTCTGCATTACTACACCCAAGAGATTTTATCTTAAGAGAACATTAGCTCAACTCCAAAGATGACCTCAACTGCTCTGCCAGAGGATAGAAAGCTCCCGCATGTCAAAAGCTATGTAAGTGGATTGCTGCATTCTGCATCAAGCTGCAACTCCTGAGTTATCTTCAGCCATAGCTTTATGCAATACACACTGCAGTAACACTATATGGAAGTGACAAAATTCTGGGTGATGCTAGTAACATTCCTATCGGAAAGAAATAGTTAATGTCACTGCCCCACAATCAAATGAAAATAATTTATAAGAAAACAAGAACATGAGAACTGCTTCACCTCATTTAAACAGCTGTGACATCTTTTTTGATTTCACTAACTCTCAACTCACTATTTACAAACTACATCTGCACCAAATACATAAAAAATTTACAGACTTCTATATCTTGTGCAGCACAAACTGGTACTTGAAATTATATGGAATTGCAGGGTTCCTGCTTAAAAAGAGACTTATTCAAACTGATGAATAGAAAGAAAGCTCTTATTCTTTTCTCTCTATAAGCATGTAGCTCATTAGTGCCAATCGGAATCACATGCACAGCGAGAAAAAGACCATTTTTTTAGGTTGCTTTAGTCATCCTTTTAATTACTGCATTTATTTTAGTGCTCTCCCATTCCCTGTATTAGGATTATTTTATGTTTATTTATTTATGATTTTTATACTACTCTGAATAACTGCCTTCCTTATTAGACCTGACCAGAATTCATTTTTCTCAGATACACTGCAGAAAAAAATAGAAATATTGATTATTTCCCACATATTCTAGAATAGAAAGTAAAAGTCCACTCTCTTTCCTGAAGTCAAAAATCATGTGTTGCTTCTTCTACTAATTTCCCTCATAAGCATTTATTAACTTTCTATATTACAATAAATTATCAGAAAAAAACCTAGATAATCCACGCCTTTGAATTTGGGTCTTGGCTTATTTTTCACAATTAAGTGATCTCTTGAATAGAAATGATATGCAGTGAAACCTATACATTTCTCACTTCAGATTTAGTATAGCCCCTTAGTAATATTCCTACCCTTCTCCTGTTTTATTATGCTCAGTCATTCATCAAAATATGTCAGCATTTTAAATCCCCATCATATTACCTGAATCATCCTTGTGTATTATTCCAAATATATAAACAATATTTGCCTTGAAAGGATGCACCTACAATTTATGACATTCATAGCATTTTTGTATGGAAGCTAGTTAGCTTTTCCCTTTTATAAAGTTGAGATTTCATATCAGAAATCACTATTTGATATTGCAACTTTCACACTACATCTCGGAAAGCTGTCCCTTTGCCACCAGCTTCCATTTTCTCTCTCTCCTTTTCCCTCCCAACACCTACAACAGATGCATCCAGTCTCTTAATTAAACCTTTGTTCCTAAAAGAATAATCAGTTTTCTAGAGGGAGATTATTTTGTTTTTTAAATACACACAACTGTCTTTTCAGGTAGCATATACTTATTAGTGTGCATAACTATAGACATCATTATTGGTCATAAAATTACCCATCCCCTTATTAAATCCAACAACAACAACATTTATCTTTTAGTTCCCTGAGGCAAAAAGTGCTAACATGATCCCTGGATGTATAAACAAAGGAACACGAAGCAGGAATAAGGAGATATTACATCTGCATAGGGCATTGGTGAGATCACTGCTGAAATGCTGTGTCTACACTTTAGAAAGGATGTTGAGGAGTCAGTTCAGAGCATAGGTGCTGGAACTAGGATTCTGAGGAGTGCTGCAGCACCCCCGACTTGAAGTGGTTTCCATTATATACAGTGTTTACAGTTTGGTTCAATGGTTCTCAGCACCCCCACTATAAAAATTGTTCCATTATACCTGGTTCAGAGAAGAGCTACAAGCATGATTTGTCATCTGAAAAAAAAACACTCCTTACTATGATGTTAAAGGATCTCAATCTATTTAGTTTATCAAATAAAAGGTTAAGAGGCAAACTGATCACAGTCTTCGATACAAGCATTCTATAAACATAAATAGATAACATTTAATCTAGCAGTCAAAGGCCTAACAAGATCTAATGGGCAGAAATTGGAGTCAGCAAATTCCAGTTGGAAATAAGAAAATTTTTAAGCAGCAAGAATAATTAATCATTGGAAAAAGCTTATTGGAAAATGTAAATTCTCCATCAATTGGAGCTTTTAAATCAGGATTGGATGTCCTTTCAAAAAGTAAACGGTCATTCAACCACAAGTTATGGGCTTGATGCGGGAATCACTGAGTGAAATTATATGGACTAAATTAGGCAAGAGGTCAGACTAGCTAATGATAATTGTCCTTAAAATAAATAAATCTATGAAACCTACTGCAGCAGTAAATTCTACAGCTTGACTATTTGCCTAGTGTAGCTAGCATCTTCTTCAGTCATTTCTTTATGGCTTACCACCACATCCTCCAAACTCTCTTTTAAAGAGAGAGTCATATTTGCAAGTGACATTCAAAGGCCTAAGATGGAATCAATAGGCCAGGGTTCTTCATGAAGTTTGGGCTGTGCAGTGCCAAGGAGCCTCAGGAGACCAGTAGCATCCATTCTCCTATATATACTTGCAGATCCACTGGACTTGCTCCCATTCTAACCTCACCCTAAAACCACCTCCATTTTGGCACAAAGAGATCTGGCATGGATGACTCCTCTGACACAGGCAGGGAAAGCAGAGACAGAACCACTCCATTACTAGTACAACTTGACAAATAGACTACAGACTCATGCTGGTTCTGTTGCCTTTTAGGCTTTCCATTGCCCTTTTAAAGGATGCAGGATTTGACCCAAAGGATGCAAAAGCACTAGCCCTTATTTCCTGTACTTACTCTGGTTATATACTCTCAATTCCTGGAAGGGGAGTAATTCAACACTTTCAGGTTGTTAATATTTGTACTCGATCCTGGGAAGCAGTGGCTCTGAAAAAAAGATTTGGTTGTCCAGGTAAATCAACTGCACAGGAGCTTGCTGTGCAAAGTTGTGGCCAAAAGAGCTAATACAAACCTAATGCATACACAGGGGAAGCTCAAGTAGGAGTAGAGAGGCTATTTTACCTCTGTATTTGGACTGGTACAATCACTGCCTGAATATTGCGTCCGGCTCCAGTGTCCACAATTCAAGAAATATGCTGACAAATTGGAGAAAGTTCATTGAAGAGCCATGAGAATGACTACAGGATTAGAAAACATGCCTTACAGCGACAATCTCGAGTAGCTCAATATATTTAGCTTAACAAAGAAGGTCAAGGGCTGGTTTGATTACAGTTCTCTCTCGTTCAGTCAATTCCACCTGAAGCCGCCAGTCCCCAGCCCTTTCTGGCTAATGGTCAGCCCCTTGGCCCTGCTTTCTTAGTCTCTCTCAACTAGACATTCCTGCAGCTTCCTGCTTGTTTATATCTGAACTACCTGATACTAGTCCAGTGGGGGCTTATTTTGTAATCAGGACTGGCCTAGTCCCAGGCTCTCCCAGCTAATGAGGCAAGCCATCCTGTTACAAGTGTAAATTTTTATTTTTTTAACAGTGAGGATAATTAACCATTGGAACAATGCGTCTACGGGCACCAGAGGATCCAAAACCTGGTCGTTCTCCGGGCACAGTGCCGAGGATGTACGTCCCACCGACTCCTTCCTCAGAGGTCTGGAGAAGGAGGCCGATGGTCCTTCTGAGGCTCCAGCCACCGAGCGAACCCCCACCGGGGGCTGCGTCGGGGGCCACAGTGCCCAGTGGTACCATTGGGCCAACCACAGGGCCCAGTGCCACTGCACCTGCTGTGGCACTGGTGGAGCCGGCTGTTCGGCCTGGCCCATCAATGGACGACTACAAAGGGAGGCCAGGCTGATATACGACCTGCCGCTGTCCCTGGACCGGGAGGAGCAGCAGCGCCAGAAGTGATGCCGACCACAGGACCGCGATCCCAACGTGGCGGACCAGTACCGTCGGTAACAGCTGCTCCACCATCAGCTCTGGTGGGCAGACTCGTGTTGGCGAGACGCCAGCGATCGATGCCCAGCGCTGTGGGGGCGGTGCCATGGCGGGGTCCTGGAGCGGGACGCCAAGCGGGAACGACATAGATGTTCATGCTGTGACCAGCAGCGGTAGCCCCTCCGAGACAAGGACCTTTGGTGTCGTCTGCCTCGGTCCTGTCGGTGTTCGCTCCTTGAGGCGAAGCGGTGCTGACAGTCTCGATCAGACGGAACCCAACCTGACAGCCTGGTGGGCGTTGAGGGTGATCCACGTGGATTTTGCCCCGAACAGTCGCTGGGCAGCGAATGGCGTCGGGAACGTTCCCTCGACCAAGACCGGTACCGAGCTGGGGGCAACTGCGGTGATCCCAGCGGTTGTTTGCCTCTGGAGCGGGGGGCCAACATCGGCGGTGCTCCTGGTACCAATATGGACATAACATCCTGGGCCGCTTGCAGGGCCTCCGGTGTGGAGGGCATCCAGACATCTGGGAGGTCTGCTCCAAATAGGCCAGGCTACTCCGCTTGACTTAAGTTGGAGGCCTAGAGGCCAGTGGGGATCGAGGACTCCTCGACATGGGTCTAGCCTCTGTCCCAGGTTTACTCCAGTGCCGCAGTGAAGAAGGCCTCTTCCTAGCCTTCTTGCCATGCCCTGTGGACTGGGAGCAGTGCTGACTAGTCGATGGCGCTGAAGGGTTCCCATGCACCAACACCGCGGTGCCCACTGCTAACTCAGAGCGGCGCGCCGGAGCCGGGGTCAGCGCCGACTCCAACAGAATAGCCTGGAGCCTAATGTCCCTTTCTCTTTTGGTCCGAGGCTTAAACAACTTGCTAAGCTTGCAGCAATCGCTGAGATGGGTTTCCCCCAAACAGCATAGGCAGTCCACGCGCGGATCACTCAGTGGCATAGATCACCTACAAGTATCGCACGACTTAAAACCCAGGGCATGGCACTCTATCTAAACTAAAAACTAACTACAGGTACCATATATTGAATGAACAAGCAGTTTTGGGGATGAGCCACAGCAAAGCTGGAGCAGAGCAGTTCCGAAGCACCTTCACAGGCGGCCTACTGTCTCTAATTAATGTCTACCTTCAGCCCATACTCTTGGGGCACCGTGCATTACTCCTGGCCCTTGAAGCATCAGGACGGCGAGGCCTGTGATTGTCTCCCTCTTGGCTGATCAGTCTCTATGGTCAGCAATTTTCTTCCTGTTCATCACCCTTTCCTGTGGCAGGTTCTCTCTTTTTAAGCATCTCCACCCCGGCAGAGCACGCCTTACAGGTGTGCCTTGTTAGGGCTGAATGAGTCCAGAACAGCTCGTTAGTCTCCTCTCCACCAGAATGAGGGTATGCCCCTTCACAACATCTATGGAACTGCATGCAGTGAACCTTTTAGAAAGTATTGTGGCTATACACCTTTCTTTTCTTATGTGTCTGCAATGGGAAAGGAAGTACCAGTTTTGATTATTTTGAGTCAAGATAGATGGACTTCTGATGTGTATTCCTCTTGTTTGCAGTGTGACTCCATCTTTATAATGCATTGAGCATTAATCAAGTGGCATTTCAGTGGTGGAGATTAGGCCACTGGCAGATTAATGGTTCATAGAAGCCACCTTGCTGCTTATGTTGTATATCCCTAGGAAAATTGTAAAAATCAGCTCTAGTGAGCATATCTTGTGTATAAGCCTAAATGTGCACATTTTCCATCAACTCCTTTCCCTACAGTCATATTGAGCTTGCAACAACTCTGTAGTACCACTGAGTTTCATGTGGCAAACACCTAAACAAATCCAGGAGGTGCCTAGAAGTAGCTATTGAACACCACTTCGTTTCCCAATACTGATAACTCCCTAGGATCTGTCAGCCTGATGTGTAGCTGGGTTATATGGCAACAAGAGGCTAGAGCATGCCTCACATCTACGTAACTGAGGATCAGAATCAGACCCCATTATTTTTCTGAAGTAGGAATCAGACATGAACATGAAGTGCTCCGCCTAACTGTACATTTCTGCTCTTACACAAAATTTAGTAATTTCTCTTTCTTTGTAAACTGTTTCCTTCTGAATTCTCGCTCTTGATAGGGATAGTATTAATGTAGCTATATTTCTATTGATGGGCCTAACTTTAAAATGTTATAGACACATTTATAACCAGCTTTTTCCTCAATAGTGACCTAGTAGGAGTGCATCCAAGTCCTCCAAATACAGCTGGATGGCTTCATTGTGTTTTAGATCTTGGGAAATGTTGTAAGTGATTTGTGAAGCATCTGTTTTACTTGTATGAAAACTTAATAAAATCTAAGCTCAAAAATAAGTTTATTTAATATTTGATACCATAAATGTGTTCATTGGCACTTCATTAAAATTCCTTTATCACCATTCTTACTACTTCACCTTAGAGGTCACTGTCAATACTCTCTTCGGTCATCCAATTTCTCTTGTTCCTTTCCTTTAATATATAATTAGGCTTTCCTAGCAAGTCTCAAAATAGTCCTCCTATTTCCTGACATTACTTGGGTCTAAAACCAGATGTGTTATCAATAAGTTGTTTGTACTGATTGATTCCACTGAAGAAACTACCTACCTCTGCTATTATTAGCACTAAGGATATAGAGAATAGATTTTGTGTATGTGTTAGTAATTGAAACATCAATCAAAATCAGCATTTTAAAACATAAAACAGTACATAACATTCAAAATTATTTTTTCTAAAGTAATCCTATTCATATATGATAGCACAATACTCTTAACAGTCTATGGTGTGCATTAAAGTATAACTAGAACTGAAGTCTATTAAGATGTGTATCCAACCATTTCAACTAAAGGGACAGCCCTGTTTTGCATTTTATTTCAACCCTGAGTACAATCTGATGGGTGTATTGATTAATAAAGCATTGAAATTTGCTTACATGACTTGGATTCCGGTGATGGTGGAGAAATGTTGGACACAGCGAGGTCACTCTTTGACTTTTTAGGTTTCTTTGCATTTACCTGCCAGGGTTTATCATAACTTCTGCAATCTCTTCTTGTTCCTTTGTTTTCTGTCGCAAAAATAAAATCTCAGGTGATTACATTTGCATGGTCACTTTTCAAGGTTATGTTACATGATAAACCCAATTTGACAAGGCACCTCCTTCACCTTGTTAGCCTCAGCATTTCTCTCTCTGGCGGTGGAGGCCTGGAGTGCAACAATCCTACTGCAGGGGGTTTTCATTCTTTGCTTTGGTTTATTTTTTCAAAATTTACAATGTGGGCCTCAGGGTAGGCCCAAGCAGTTCTCTTATGCAAAAATCAAACTAACAACACAAAATAATATATTTTTTTCTGCCCCTGCCCCAGAGCATTGTCTTATTATGCTGGCTTCTGGTTGCCAGTCCTTCCCCAAACAGAAGTTAACATGACTGTGTCCCATATAAGGAGGAGAGCAGCCTTCCATCTACAAGAAACCTTTTCTCCCTGCTGCCCCTACCCTACTGCAGCTACTGCATCCCTCCTGTCTGTGTGTGTGTCTCTCTCTCCCCCTCTCTCACCAGAAGAGGGGTTTCTAAAAGTCACTGGCAGCCCTTAATTGGGATTAGGTATCTCTAATTAACCTGAGGTAACCTCTTTTCAGTTCATAGGGAAAAGGGCCTTCTCCATTCTATGGCTCAGGGGCTTCTCTGTGACTGTGGGGCCTATTTCTGATCCTCCCTCTATTCACACATCTGGGCAGAGTTCCTCTGGGCTGCATCCACTGGCTCCCTTGACATCTTCGAGGAGCAGTGGGCACTGTGGGTTCTCTGCTCGGTGTCCCCTTCCAGTTCCCTACTTTTGACCCTCGGACCCTTACACCGATCCTTGTTATTTTTCTGTTGTAGGCTGGCGGAGGCTCCTTTACCTGTGGGCAGACTTGCGCCCACTTACCTCCCCAGAACCCAATAGGACCACTCTCTCATAGAGAGGATGTTGGCTGAGGGGGGTTCTCTGAAACTGTGAGGCCTATTACTGTTCCACTCTCTGCTCATGTATCCAGGCAGAGTTCCTCTGGGAAGTGGGCGCTGTCTGGGGTTTTCTGCTCAGTGCCCCCTTTAACCCTCACACCTTTTGACCCTGTCCTTTTTTCTTCTGTTGTCCCCCCGTATTTATTTGAGTTCCAGGCTTAATGGATTCTTCCTATAGGGTGGGGGAGGGTCCTTTAGCCCTGGGTTGGCTTGCACCTGCCCACTTCCCAGAACCCAACAGGACCACTCTCTCATAGCTGTCAGGTCTGACTGTCACACCCCAGATAAAAATATACTTTGGGTTGCCTGGATATACTGGGTATCAGTCTAGGAGCATAAGGCCAGCTGCTCTTCCTTTTCCCCTTGCTGAATTATGCCAAACACAATTTCAGATCATGGCACAAGAATATACAAACTACTGCTTGTTTCCTTTCACATCTAACTTGAGAAATGTATGGACGTGCCTTTGATTAAAAATGCAGGAGATTAGCTGTGACCACGAAGCCCTCAACACAGTTGAGAAGTGGGGTGAGGAGAAAGGAAACAATGGCTTTAAGCATCCTTTGCACTTCCCCAATACTAGGGCTACTTTCTGATGGGCCAGAAAACAAGCACAAACTGGAGCAATGAGAAGGCTGCTCCAGCTTGCACTGGCTGGATATTGCAGCCAGGAATCACTAGGGTGGAGGAATGCCCATACCTACAGGCCATGCCCTGTGTGCCAGTCACAAGCCTGTGGGAAGCGCAGAAGTCCTTACAGCAGATTTACACCACCTAAATATCCCCCTTGCATGGGAGAGCATCCTGTGAACAGTTAAGTCACTTTAGGGCAGCTCTGTGCCAGTGGAGGGCAGGACCTGGCATATATTATACAGGTATGGACTTCAAATGAAGTCTAGTTTTGAATATCCTTCTTTTTTGATGTATTAAAACAATCCCTGTTTTGAGACTATTCCTCAACAGAGTGTTAATGGAAATAGTTATTTAGCATTTATTTATATGTTCCAACTTTATAGTTAACATTCAGCTTGGTCTCCTTCATTAATGAGTGCTTTACACCTGCCTGTTAATTCCCACAAAAACTTAAAACAAGACAAAACTTTGTTAAGTTACAATCAGTTTCTAAGTGCAATTCAAGGGAAGAGCTACCATTAAACACAAGCATTAAAAAAATTAATGGACAGATTCTGGTAGCCTTAATCATATTACTGTACTGCACTATTTGAAAAGATTATGGAAATCAATTACACTTTAAAGTTACATAAATAACTGACGACAACAAGCTGCCAAAGCTATTCCACATCAGAGGTCAGAGCACATCCGCTTCCTGTCTGACTCCCCTCTCCCTGGCCTCTTTCAGGTCCCTCCATGTTCTACCCCAATTTCCAGTGGTTCTGAAAAGAAGTTGAGTGCTTATACTCAAAACTGTAAATGCCAATTGCATATTAATAAAACATTCACCATACAATTAAAAATTAACCACTATGCATCTGATGGAGGTCTGGTACGTTCCTACAGACTTTCAGTCAACTTTTGACACAAAACCAACATTTTAATAAACACTGTTATGGATGAATATGTTCCAAAATCTACTGGTTTATCAATGTGGGGATTGCTATTTTAAAGTCAGAGTGCTTGCTATTGCAAATGTTTTAAAATCTCAAAACATAAATTTGTCACACTGGGGTTCATACAACAGTAAGAGCGTCTTCCTGTAAAGTGTTGAGGTGAAGGGTGGTTAAAATGTGTTATTAAATATCTAAATAAAGACTAACTACAACCTATAGCTCCACTGTATATTTCATCTATATTTGTTTTGTAGATCTGTAGCAGCCCTGAAGGGGTTAAAACAGCCCTGGGGAGCCAATAGGGTACGCTGATTGGGAACACAGTCACAGCTGGGGCCACACCCAATTAGGAAACAGCTGGCCCTATAAAATGGCTGTGAGCCAGGAGCTGGGCAGTCTCTATCAATGCAGAAAGAAGGACCTAGCTGCCTGGGAGCAGGGCACCAGAGGTAGAGCAGTGCTGGGGAAAGGCAAGGGGCGCTCCAGCCTCGTAAACCCCCAGGCTGCAGGCCTTGGTGAAGGCCTACAATGGTACTGGGGCTACAGAGGTGCAGCCTGGGAATAGGCAGAGGCAGCTGGTCCTAACCCCTTGCCAATGATGAATGACCATTACAGACTGCAGTCTGCCCCAGTGAATGGGGGCTAGATGATGACTGGCAGTAGCCACTGAGGCAAGGTGGGTTTAGAGGGTTGAGGTTCCCTTGGGAAGGGAGACCTAGAGTGTGGAGGTACTACTGGGGCAGAACCATGAGGTAAAGGGCACTGGGGTTTAGGAGGGACACAGGGCCAGCAGCAGGTGAGACACCAGCCTGCAGAGGGTGCTCTGGGCTGGACAGGAGCTAATTCCCAGAAAACCAACAGGAGGCGCTGCACTGTTGAGTCTCACCCCGCTACAAGATCTCTTACAGTTTGTATATCTTGAATTATTTTGTTACCTTTTTTGACCTGATCAATTAGTCAATAGAAGGATCTTTCAGATTGTTTCCATTAAGAGGAGAAATTGATGGAGTCAAGGTTGTCAAACAACAAGAGGCACTTCCTTCGCTCACAGTTCTAAGCCTCTTTCCAGACAGCACTCTGCCCAAAAGGCTTCTCTCTTGGCTCTCCCTCAGGGTCACATTGCGCGTGCTTAATATGCTTTCTCTCTCTGCCTGTTCTCCAACTTCTTTTGCTCATAAACACACATACCCCCATCAAACAATATCCAACCCCCTGAGTACCCAGAAGGATGAAATAGGGAGCATAGAAAAGGACAGAAAATGGAATGTTACAAATCAAAATTCATCGAGTTTTCTTGCCCTTAAATGGGAATAACGTAATTAGGGGAACATCTGGCCTTATATGCCTTATGGATTTGTCTCCTTTCTATCATATAGATTTCTTTAATGCTACAAAGAATAAATAAAATCTATTTAAGAAATATTAGTTTCTGTTCATTTTACTATACTCACCTCTGTTTTCTTCATGTTATTTCTTTGGCATAATAGTATTTTTTTAAAACCTCAAAACATACAAATATTCCCCACTTACCTGATGTCTCACTTTCTGCCCAGAGAGCAGCAGATCCAGACAATGTTCTCTGTAGTTGACTCCGGTTCCCTTGTTTGGACTGAAGATGGTCAATGAGAAATGGGATTGGCTGGTCAGGAGTCTCTGTTATCAGCTTGGTCATCAGTTCCTTAAAGAAGGGAAAAAACATAGTGCAGCATTGTACCTTATATTGACCAAAAAATAAAGGAGTATTAATAACTGTAATTAATTAAGTCAAAGCCTATTGTCAACATTTGTGAGGAAAGTTTGAGTTGTCAGTCATGTTAAATTATTAACCATTACTACTATTAATCTGTAGAGCATTCACATGTGTGTAGCACTACTAGTCATTCAGAATGTCCTCCGTAATGATCCTGAAGACACTTGATCACATACACTTGAGCATGTCTGGCATTCCATCCAGTGATACAGCCACAATGATACAAGCATTCCAGGAAGACACACACACACACACACACACACACACACATTTTGATTCTGCTCTCTTTGCATGATTGCAAAGGAGGAGCAATACCATTGACATCAATGTTACGCCAGTGTAAAACCAGAATCTGGCCCACAAACTCAATGTATCATACAGATTTTGTTACAGGAATGAAAATACCAAGAGTCCAATTTTCAGAACTGCTGAGCACCCACGGCTCCCATTGACTGTAGATGGGAGTAGTTGTATGTGTTTTCACTGAGGAGCTTGCAAAATGAAATATAGTTATACACAGATGCATTTGCAAAATTTTGTCAGAGGATGCAACTGTGTGAATTAAACTAGCTTTCAGTTTTAATGTAGTCTAACCCTAGGCATTCGGAGTTTTCCCAGTATATCCAATGAAGGCAATAATTAAAGGCAGTTTATGTGGTATGTGTTCTGTAAATTAACTCTGACAGTCCAACAATATAAAAAAAAGCATACAGTTATGAGATGCTGAGTACCCACAATGCCCATTTAAATCAATCATTTTTCTTGCAAACCACATGTAGTATTATTCATTTAAGCTATAAATACATACATGGTACTATATATTTTAGCCCAGGTGGCAGAATGTAAAACAAATATTGTATACAAAAACATGTGAATCAAGCCAAAGTCAGAAACCATGATTTATCACATCGTCTAATCATCAGACCAACACATTTTGTGTAGTTCACTTTATCCTCTGATTCTGCATTTCTGGTTAAGCTAATTGTCCGTGGTAGCTACCTCCCATGAGCCCTCTCATGGCTTTGGGGCAGCCTTGCAAATGGCCCCCTGACTCAATTTCCCCCTTCAAGGGGCTTCTCCAATAACAATCAAACATTTTTGTCCATTCTTGCATTCTGCTTTATTCAGTTAACAAACATTCCAAATGAAGTTCTCAAGTCCATCCATTGTCTCAAGCTTTTCCTGCTTGTAGTCTCATTTTCCCAAGTTTCTCTGTTGGATCCTCCTTGCTACCAACAATCTCTGTTTTCCCTGAGAACCATTTCCCTGCTGCCTTTTATGAGGGAACCAGGTGATCCTTGCTCAAATGTGCCGCCTTAGTCATCCGAATTGGCTGCCCCCGGGTCTCTAGCCCTTAAAAGGCAAGCCACCCTATTACCAAGTACAAAACTAATAAAAAATATACAAACACTTTCTTGTAAAGCATTTGGGGCTGCAACACCCACAACATACCGGACACAAACCCACAAAATGCAAGGAAGAAATGAAAAACGAAGCTAACAAAGAGTATTCTTCCATGCACAGTGTTGACTAATACACACACTGGCTAGCATACATATATATTATGCTGATAATGTTATCCACAAGATATATTATAAGCATTTAAGTACACATATTAAGCACTAATATAGCTGTTATAATGCCCAAATTGTCCTGTACCTTTGTTATAATCCTGTTTACTTGTGCTAAGTATCCAATGACACCGTGGATTAGCTGAGGTAAGCTTTGTCTTAAGTAGATAGAAAAACTATCAGAATCAGGACATATTATTGTTTCCTTATAGCAATAGAAAGGGAGTTACCCTCACAAACCTATTTATCCTGGTACTGGCATAGGAGGTGTCTTCACGCCCATTAGTACCTGGAATGCATGGGTTAAGAACAAAAGATAAAGAGGTACACCATGGTACCAGAAATAAACATGGTAGAAAGATGATTAATTGAATCCAGTTTCAGGTGATATATATAGTACTTTGTAGTGGTAAACAAATAGGGTATAAAAAGATGGCTTTAGGGATGTAACTTTGGGGAGCACATGTTTTGTGTAAGGTGAATGTAACATTGCTGCATGGGACTGCTCTTCAGAGACTGGTATTGTATAGAACCCTTTTCCTGTACCATATTAATAAATTTGACTGGTTATTTGGTGTTGAGTATATTTCATAATGGAATATGAAAATATTCCATTATGAAATAATGGAATAATTCCAAAATAGTGTGGTGAAGCAACTGACTATACAATTTATCAACAAATTGGCAAGCCAGCCAGGAGCCATCTAGCCACATCATCAGTCAAACCAAGCAGTGTGTGATCATGACATAACTGCTCGAAAGGGGATCCTACTCAGCAAGTGGTAGGACACTAGTGTTTGTGAATCTCTGGTACATGCAGGCAGCTGGCCAAGCCAAAGAGAGTTATAAGCTTTCAGACATTTCCAGTATGCACAGGAGGTGCTGCTGTGATTTTTAATAATAAGCGCACTATGGCGAAATGCCTTTTAAAAGTAACCAGTTTTACAGATGTGCATAATACAGCACTTTAGGTGAAATGCCAATACTTTAGGAATTCCTGGGCAAAAAGCTACATTTTAAGTGTGTGTGGGTGTGGGTGTGTGAGATTATGATTATACACGCACACACACGAATTAAAGTGTTTCCTAGGTAAAAGCCATATACAGAAATCACAGACATGGCTAATGAAAGAGAAAGACAGGACACATTATAATCCTTTATTATGCACTTTATAAATAAACACAGAGGTGCATCATTCTGGCTCGATATTGTAAATAACCTCGACCCCTGTGGTCATGTATGTAATCTGTTTACATCAGAAATGGAGGAAAACAAAGTAAAAAGGGGAAAGAAAAGGATTGAAAGAGTATGGCTATGCAAGGGCTCTATTTAACTTGCTTAGCTTTAAACAGTAGAATAAAAGATTTAGCGGAAAACAAATACAGACAAGGAGCAGAACAGAGTCAAAACGGCAATTAGAGAGTGTTCATAGTTTAAAAACCACCTTTGCATGCAATTTGTAGGATGCAAGAGATGCAATCAAGGAATATCAAATGCAGCGTAACCAGGAGAAAAGGGAAAAAGCTGAGTGGGTGCAGCAAGCACAAGATCTAAAGGGTGCTCACTCTGTGGCACATAGCCAGTTAACTGCTGTTTGCATGGGTGTGCCAGCAGACCTCTCTGAAAACAGACAAAAGCAATAGGCACTGGGAGTCCATATTCAGGTTTTTCGGTAGCAGGTAGCAACCTCCACTCTCCTTGAGCCAGGTTTTCAGTCCCCCTTCTCTAATCCATTGAACCCAACTCCCCTCTCAGAGCTTTTTCAAATATTTTTCCATACAGGTCAATTTTTTCCTTTATGTCCTCTCTCCTTGCTAAACTCATTGCTGCTGCCTGTACTTTAAAATTACCTCACAGAATTAATTAATTTCTCTTGGCTCATGTCTTCCTACACTGCTTTCTCCTCACTTCTGCCCTCCCTTTATTTTAAAAGTTAAAGTTGTGGAAAGGTGTGTGCTTATAACAGCAACTATCATATACCACACGGTACACACCACAAGTTAACTCTACCCTCCTTTTAGCCTTTCTGCACACATTCCTTTACTTAATTGTTTTCCCCAACATTAGTAGTTGTCGATGTTTGACGTAATAGTGGGTTGAGTTGGAAGAAGACAGTTTGGTAAAAGGGTACGTGAAGGTGGTCAGTTGAAGATTAGCAGCGGTACGTGGCAGAGCAAATTATCTGTATTCACTTCAAGGCCCTTTTATACAGCCAGAGTGGTGTAGAAGCTTAAGTGTGAGCAAGAACAGGCCCAAACAGATTCCTAGATGGAAAAAAAAAGACATTTCACTAAAGAAACCAAAATGGAGAAAACATATCTGGTTTCATGGCTTTAAAAAAAAATTAAGAGGACTGTCCATGACCTGTTATTTTTTTAATAAGAAGCCAATAGGGATATCTTTGGTTTTGGAACAGAAATCCAGAGGAACAAGAACAGCTGCTGAATGAGCTGTGATCACAAAAGGAACTGAATGTAGAACGAGCAGAACTTTGGTGAAAGTCATAAGAAGGGCCATGCTGGGTCAGACCAAGGGTCCATAAAGCCCAGTATCCTGGCCAATGGCAGGTGCCCCAAAGGGAATGAACAGACAGGTTATCATCAAGTGATCCATGCCCTGTCACCCAATCCCAGCTTCTGGCAAACAGAGGCTAGGGACACCATTCCTGCCCATCCTGGTTAATACTCATTGATGGACCTATTTTCCATGAATCTATCTAGCTCCCTTTTGAACCCCGTTATAGTATTGGCCTTCACAACATCCTCTGGCAAGGAGTTCCAGAGGTTGACAGTGCGTTGAGTGAAAAAATACTTTCTTGTGTTTGTTTTAAACCTGCTACCTATTAATTTCATTTGGTGGCCCCTTGTTCTTGTATTATGAGAAGGAATAAATAACACCTCCTTATTTACTTTCTCTACAACACTCATGATTTTATAGACCTCTATCATATCCCCCTTAGTTGCCTCTTTTCCAAGCTGGAAAGTCCCAGTCTTATTAATCTCTCCTCATACGTAAGCCGTTCTATACCCCTAATCATTTTTGTTGCCCTTTTCTGAACCTTTCCCAATTCCAATATATCTTTTTTGAGATGGGGCGACCACATTTGCATGCAGTATTCAAGGTGTGGGCATTCCACAGATTTATATAGAGGCAATATGATATTTTTTGTCTTATTATCTATCCCTTTCTTGATGATTCCCAACATTCTGCTTGCTTTTTTGGCTGCCACTGCACATCGAGTGGATGATTTCAGAGAACTATCCACAATGACTCCAAGATCTCTCTCTTAAGCAGTAACAGCTAATTTAGATCCCATCACTGTATATGTATAGTTAGGATTATGTTTTCCAATGTGCA